CTCTGCTCGCCTCGGGAAAGCGCCGCTCTCTGGGCATGTGGCCCTGGGTCTGCTGTGAGGGTGGGAAGGTCGTTCGCGTCTGTCCAAGGTCAAAAGACCATCAGTGAGTGCAGCTCCATCTCCCCAGACTCAGCACTTCCTGCCGAAGCCTCGCACACTCACTTGGAGCAGTGCCTGCTGGGCCAGGGCGCCTCAGGATGTGGCCTCTGTGTGCCAGGGCCGCTGGTGCTCCCCAGGGCACGGTCTGCCCCCAGTGAGCAGTTGCTCTGGAAGTGAAGAGGCGCAGTGTGCTGGCCACGAGCAGGCGAGCTGACTGGCTGAGCGGCTCTCACCCCTTAGGGACACGGGCGAAGAGTGCGGTGCAACCGCGAGGCTCTCGGGTGAGGCCAGCAGCTGGCCGGGCACTGGGGACCTCTGAGTGGGTGGGGCCCTTCGCCCTGGCACTGCCTGAGAGCATGAGCCTGCGTCCTGACAGCCCTGGCTTGTGCACCAGTCTCCCCTGCCGGCGTGTGACTGTGTGGCAGGCGGCCCTGCAAAGAGCGCAGGCCCTGGTGATAGTAGACGGGCGAGCCCAGCTGGAGGAGGGGTTCGGAGTGGGCTGCAGGCCACAGCACCGACTTCCCCACCCATCCCAAGCGGTGGGCCTGCGCCTCCGACCCCTTCTGGCCCAGACTGTGCCTCACTCAGTGTGACGATGCCCAGCTCTGAGGCCCCTGAGGGCTCGTTCTCCCCCGCTGCTGGCTTGTGTCACCCTGAAAGGGACGGCTCTTGCTGACGGAAGCTGCTCAGTGTCAGGCCCAGCGTGCTATGCAAACAGCTTTTCCCTTTATTAGGCATTGAGTAAAAGTAGGCCGGCCACACAGCATTTCTAAAAAATTACTAAATGAGCAGCACTTGCGGAGCTGATTGGACTCCTTGCTCGCTTGACGTCTGCCCTTGCTGACCCCACGCGGCCCGCCCCGCCCGTCTTGTGGCTCTGTCCCATGTGGAATGCCATCTGAGTCAGGAGGGGCTGCCCCTTCCCAGTGTGTCCTCCTCAGCCTGGGGCTTTGGCAGAGCGCCACACAGCCCCACGTGCTGGCTGTGGGCACCGGCAGGTTCTAGACCTCTTCCTCTCCAGCCAGGGTTGTGCTGCCCGCCCCCAGGCCCATTGTACGCGGGCTGAGCTGAGACAGGGCTGGCATGAAGCTCCTGCAGCCTAAGGTGAACTGTCCGTGGCGCCTGAGGGTGCGGAACTCTGCCCCGTCCCAGTCCCAGAGCCGAGCCAAGCGGGAGCAGTGTCAGCACCTCCCCACCCTAGGGGCGCGTCGGAGTGGAGGACAGGGCTGTTCCCCCTCCAGGCTCGCCCCCATGGGTGCTTATGCACAGTCCCAGGCCCGAGGTGGAGAGCTCAGTCCGAGGCAGGCCGGCCTCTGGGCCCTGTCCTGATTCCTCTCCCTCCCAGGTCTTCTCCCAGATCTCATCGGCTGCGCTGGGGCTGCTGGGCCTGGAGTGGGGCCCTGGCCGAGACAGCATCACAGCCCTTCCAAAAAGCCTGTGGCCAGTTCCCAGGCCAGGGCCAGGAAGGTGGCTCAGCCCACACCCGTACCTGGGCTTCTGACTCCTGTCCTTGGCCGCTCACTGCAGGAGCTGCAATGTAGATCCGTGGTCCAGCCCCAGGGCAGCAGGTGGCCGGCTTGGTCCAAGCCAAGAAAGTGACACTCAGAAATCTAATCTGAAAGCTGCACAGAAATCTCTTCCCTGGTTGCGAATTCATTCTCACCAATGTGTGATTGGCAAATTTTTTCTCCTCCCCACTTCCTTCCCTGCTTGCTTTCTTCTGAAGTCCTGGGGGTCAAACCCAGGGCCTCACAGAGCCAGGCAAGCTCCACCCAGCCGATGGAGTCCCCGGCCCTCTGGCTTCTCCCTTCCTGTTTCCTGCTGGTCAGTGCGAACAATACTAGGCGCCCCTGTTAGTTCTGGCTGTTGGCAGAGCCCTAACGTGCATACCCCTGTGTGTGACTTCATCGGCTCATCCCTGGGCCTTGCTGACCAACAGATGCCAGTGCAGTGAGGGAGGGGAAGCCTCGCCCTGGGGCATCTAGTACCTGCACTCCACCGCCCTGCAACCTGCCCGGGCCACAACGTGAGGAGGAAGCCCAGTGTCCCTAGCCAAAGTCAGTGGATGGTACATGGTCCAACTGAGGCTGGAGGAATTAGCCAAGGGTGGCCCAGATTCAATCCCCAGTACAGCAAGACAAAAAACAAAGACTCATTAAACTGGCTTAGCATTTTGTCAAAACCACCTCCATAGGTGGACATGGTGATACATTCATATAACCCAGCTATTTGGGAGGCTGAGGCAGGAGGATCACGAGCCCAGGAGTTCAAGACCTGGACAATATAGACCACATCTCATTAAAAATTTAGAAAGTTCTTCACTAAGAAAATGGAACTGATTATAGCTAATTTTCAATAAAAGGAAGCTCTGTTTATATCTAAAGCAAAACAAAATTCATCAAAATGCAGTTCCCTTTTTAAACCTTGCCACAAGCCAATGTCATGAATGCGAGAGCCCTGGGAGTCAGCAGAGAGCCGGATTGCAGTTCTAGCTGGGATGAAGGTGCTGACCTGTGTGTCGGGGCCGGGCCGGTCCTGTGCGATCCCATGGGAGTCCTGCTCAGGACCACGTAGTGCCTGGGCCCTCACGGAGGCGGCCTCTTCTCGCTTACCTCGTGATCAGCAGTGGGTGTCTTCACTGAGCGGCCCAGCGGTGCAGGTCGGGCGGTCTGCCCAAGGTTGCCACGCTGGCCACCGGGACGTGGCATCGAGGCCGGTGCACCTTCGGAAGGGGCTTAGTGTGCCCCTTGATTGGCCGCTGTTTCCAGGACTCAAATGTTCAATGTGCCGGCAGGGGCCGCACGCCTTTGGGAGCACATGTGCTCGTTGGGCCCACTGCACACATCCTGCCAACTGCCCCTTGCCATTGCCTCACAATCCCTGTGCTCCCTCCAGGCCATGTGACCACCCCAAGGCAGGGTCTTGCTGCATAGCCCAGGCTGGCCTTGAACTCACAGTGATCCTCCTGCTTCAGCATCCTGGGTGCTGGGATGACAAGCATGTACCACCATGCCTGCTTGTACTGAATTCTAAAATAAAATAATTCTATTAGCTTCCCACCACTGCCAGAGACAGTTAACGTCAAGAGAAAAGACGTGTTCTGGCTGTTTTGGGTGGCGGAAGACACGGGTGTGGGGAGAACAAGCGGCCCACCTCATAGCCAGGAAGCAGGAGAGAAGGAGGGGCCAGGGTCCCACTAGGCCACGCCCCCAGTGCCCCAGGACCTCAGCTGCAGCACCATCCCACAGCGCCCCTGGGAATGGGGCTAGGGCTCCTCAGGGACCTTCAGGGTGCAGACTGGAGCAGCCGTGGAGCCTGGCAGGTGTGGGCCCCGGGCGCGTCCCGGCCTCAGGAGGGCTCGGCTGTGCTGTGGTGACATGGCCCGACCCCGGGGTTCTCTCGGGGCTGCTGGCAGAGTGGCCCCTGGCCCTTCACATACAGGCCCCTCCCTCTCCCTAGAGAGCCCCAGGCCCGGGGCTTCCCAGATGAGGGGAAGGAGGATGCCTGGTCTCCTGCGCACAGCACCAGTCCTGCGGGACCAGGTCTGCACCCATGCCCCTCCATTTAGCCACCAGCATCTCCTTCCAGGGTGAGGGCTTCCACGGGGGGCACGGTGTGCAAAGGGGCAGGCAGTTCAGGCAGAAGCAGCAGGGACAGGAGAGCCCAGGTGTCACGGTGACAGGGTGCACATCCAGAAGGGACACTGCCCCTGCCACATACCCGAGCTGGTCCGTGCTGGCCAGTGTCCCCACAGGGAGCCGTGAGGCATAAGCTCACTAACCTGGGTGGCAGGGTCAGGTCCCAGGTGGCCGGCATTGGTGTCCAGCCCCGTGACATGAGTCTGGGCCCTGTGCCACTGCACACACCTCCCCGGACTCCTGAAGCCAGTGTGGAACTCCCTGCCGCCCAGCCACTCAGGCTCTGACACGCTGTGTGGCCAACCACGGGCGCCTTTGTGCCATGTCTGTAATGAGGGCGACTTCCTGCATGCCAGACACTGCCCCAGACCTGTGACCTGTGACCTGGCAGCCCTGCCGCCAGTCCTGCCCTGCAGCCTGGGTGGGCGTGCACCTATGCGTGCGTGAAGCTCTGCTGAGTGCCGGGTGAGTCTGGAAACCAGAGCAGAGGGTCCACAGGCTGAGACGTCCGAGACCAGTGGCCCTGCTTGATGCTGTGGAGAGGACATCACGCCCCGTGCACCTCCCCTCAGCACAGAGCCTGAGCTAGGCCACAGGTACTCTCGAGTGGCCTGCCAGGCCTCGAGGCAGGAACCCTGTCTCCAGCACAGGTTGTTCATGTTTGAAAAGGTTTTTCGCTTTTTATCTTTTGTTTTTTAAGTACTAGGGATGGAACCCAGGCTCTTCACCCTGAGCTACAACACCACTTTTTGCATTACTTTGAGAAGTCTCCCTAAGTTGTCCAGGATGTACTTGAACTGGCGATCTTCCTGCCTCAGCCTCCCAGAATACTGGGATTATAGGTGTGCACTGTTGAGCCTGGCTGCAAGGTCCCCTTGACCACACTTTCTGGAAGTCCCACCACCCCACGTGTGACAGAGCGGCTGCCTTCCTGCTAGGGAGGGGTGGTGCTGGTCAGGTGGGGTTAGACCTTGGTGAGGAAAGGACTCCTGGTCTCTGTGGCAACCAGGTGAGCCTCACTGCCCCAGCTGAGCCTGTGGGGAACGGGGCAGCGATTTGGGACAGTACTGCCGGGTGATGCTGGGCCCACTGCTCAGCACCGGAAGTCCTCTCACCCCAGGCCCGCCACAGGACGAGGGTGTCCCTGTCGCCCGGGCCAGCCCTATCCTTGGCTTCCAGCCCGACACAGTCACTGCTCTGAGCGACCTCACAGGCTGTGCCAGGCCGGAGCCGCTGCAAGCCCTGGCCGCCATCAGCACTGGGGAGTGCTGTCTGTGTGGCAGCCTTGCGCCCAGACCCTGAGGACTTCCGACGCCTCCACCCAGCTCTGCCACGTTGACCTGCACTCCACAGAGGCAGGGCTGGAGACCAGACCCCAGTGCTGGCATCCAGGACCCCACCCTTGCCCTGGGCTTCTTGCTGGTCACTTCATGGGACGTCTCACGCTAGTGGAAGGCGGGGAAGGCTCAGGAGTCTTTCTGTACTGGGTGTTGATCGAACTCAGGCTTTTGAGGCAGGCGCAGTGCCACTGAGCTAAATCCCTAGCCTAGAGCTCACTTCCTGCCCAGTTGGTTGGCGGGCAAGTCAGGACACTTCTGCCTGAAGAAAGCTGGGAACCACTGGCCTGTCTCTTTCCAGCGGGCCTGGGCTCAGTGCTGTGGCCACCTAGACAGTGAAAGCAGCAGGCCACCGTGCCCAGCGCCGAGCCTGGCGTCCTGGCTGTCCTCCTTGGGTGTGCAGCCTAGGCAGCCACAGTGTAGATGGCCACCACCTGAGCTCCCCGGCATACGGGGCACCATGGCCTCAGCTCCAGCTCTGAGTGGGATGAGATCCACTGCTGCATCCCAGCCTGCCCCATCTCCCCCATCAGGGCCGCCGTGCCTGTGGGACCTGGTGGGCTGGGCATGAGAAGGTGGCACTGTCTGGCCAGGCCTCAGGCACCCGACAGCTTCCCGCCAGGTAAGGTGGGCACAGTAGCAGCTGTCCTTGCCTCAAGGGCTGGGCGGACAGGGGCTGTAGCCAGCGCTGGGCACAGAGGCTGTCACTCGTGTGGGCTCTTCCCTCTGCCGTAGGGAGCAGACTCGGTCCTTCGGGGATAGTCTGTGTCAGGGGTGCAGTTCTGCACAGTGGGCGAGGAGTCTGGGGGGCTGGGTGCCTCTCCGCTGGGGGCATCTAGGGCCCCTGTCTTCCCAGCCACACTTGGGGGACCCCAGCCCATTAGGGGTCAGTGGTGAGAGCACTGCCATTCCAGGCTGTACCACTGGATGGCGCTGCACAACAGAAAGACACAGCCTTCACCAGCTCCAGGCCAGTCCTGAGTGCCAGCTGGAGACTTTTCTCTCCTTCTCCTGTCTGTACTGAGCCCGGGCCACACCTGCGGCTGGCCACACACTTGTCTGGCCCAAGTTGCAGACCCAAGCTACATCCCTACCAGGCCAGCCTGCAGTTCCTTCCCACGGCCTGCAGCGCGACTTGGGAACTGTGACCCCAAGCCCCGCAGCAGGAGCAGTTGCCAGCACGGGCTGAGTCCAGGGGCGCCTCCTCCAGCCTGCTACACCACCATGCTGGCTGCATCTGCACTGGGCTCCGAGGCCGGGCCCACGGGGTCCCCATGCCCAGTGGCAGTGAGCTCACCAAAGTGCCTGTGTCTAGGGCCTTCCCTGGTCTGGACAGCACTTCACCCGAGGCCGGGGCTGGGCTCCATGTCACCCTATCTTCCAGGGAGAGAGTGAGGAACATGCTTGGTTGTGGAGATGGGTTAGGGGCAGAGCCGTGCCGCCTCATGCACTGTCAGTGTCCACTCTGGCTGTGGCCACTTCCCAGCCACACCGAGACAGTGCTGCTGTCCCTTGTGTCTGTGCTCCTGGGGCCCGGGTCCTCACTGTACCTATACAAGCAGGCCTGCTGGTCACTCCTGCCCTGTCCCCACGGCCTCCGAGGCGTAGAGGGTCCTCTCTGGGGTGTGACGGGTCTCCCCCTGCCCCACAGCTGCCCCCAACAAGGTCACCTCTAAGTCCAGGCCTCTTATGGGGTCCCGTGGGTCACACCCTGTCCCTTTAGCTTACTCCTCTGAGGAGCAAGTAGCAGCCCAGTCCCACCACACACCAGGACTAAAGCAAAAATTCAGGAAATCCGCAAACTGGCATTGTCACAGATTAATTGACTTTTTTTTTTCTGGTACCAGGGATCGAACTTAGGACCTTGCACTTGCCAGGCAGGTGTGGTGCCACTGAGCTACATCCTGGCCCCAAATATTAAAGGACTGTGAGTCACAGTGTAATCGATTCCACAGGTACAGCTAACACAGACTCAAAGCTCCTCGCCTCCGACTTACGCCGGGACACTTCCCGAGTCTATGCCTGTCCCCACTGTCACATGAACCCACCTATGGGGTCCCCACTTGGGGACACGCGGTTGGCTTGAACAGTCCCATCCCAGAGACCCTGGGGCTGGGTGAGGCAGGCAGCTGTCGCTGTCCCAGCCTGCGTGGTGCTGTGCTCAGGAGCTCAGTGCTTCTGCGGGATCCCAGGCTCGTCGCAGCCGCCTTCACCTCCGTTCACCTCCACCAGGTGCAGATCTGTGAGTCACATCTGCTGGTGGCGGGGGCGGGTGCCTCGTGCCTCCGTGACGGTCTGGGGGCGCCTCTCAAGGTTGCAGGTGGGGTTGGGCAGCCGTGTAACAGGCATCCCGGGGTCAGGCCGGGTGGGGACAGCACGAGGCAGTGTGCCTCGGGGCCTTCACACTGACTTGGTCCAGCAGAGCCCCATGCCACATTCCAGGGGCTGCTTGCTGGCATGAGCCTCTGGACCCTGAGGAATCGGGTAATATAGCTGCCTGGAGAGAGGACGAAGTGTCTGGCATGAAGTGGGCACTCAGTAAATGGAGCGATTTATGGTTTTATCTTTTATTTCCTGTCACTCAGACAGCAACTCTACTCCTGCCGGCCTGTCCTGTCCTCTCCTCTGTGGCCCCAGCCATAGCAGAGTTTCCAAGGCGTGTATGTGGTTGCTAGGCATCTATTGCTAGGCAACCTCTGTTATTCCGGCAAGGCCTTCTCAGGGAGGGCCTGGCTGACTTCTCCCAGCAGCATCTGCCTCCTGTGGCCTCCGCAGACCTCAGGGAGGGCAGGTGAGGAGCCAGGCAGGAGGGCAAGGCCCGGCAGAGGGAGGGGTGAGAAGAGGCAGGCAGGGCCCAGAGCCGGAAGGGCTTAGATTGGGCCAGTCCGACCCATTTCCCTCTGCAAATGGGAGGAAGGGCTAACACGCAGCAGGTGGGAGATGCAGCGAGGCACCTGCTTCTTCCAGTGCAGGGGACGGTCGGCCTGGGCAGAGGCTGGCGGGTCCCCAACTCCACTGTGCCCCCGCAGGCCCCAGCCTGCCGCCCAGCACAATGGTGGGGAAGCTGCCCCTTGGGGTGATCTCCCCCCATGTGAAGATGAGCTCGGGGGGCTGTGTGGACCCCCTGAAGTTCTACGCCACCACCTACTGTACGGCCTACGGTGAGTGCCTGAGGGGAGCCACCCCATGCCACAGCCCTCCAGGACCCCGCTGCCTGCTGGTTCTGGGGCCAGCCCTGTCCCTGCGATCCCTGCGATTCTGCCCCACGACCTTGCCCCCACCCGTGGACCCCATCTCCTGCTGTCAGTCCGGTCACGCTGGCTCTGACAACCAGACCCAGAGGTGGCTCTGCTGGAGCCTGCTCCTCCTCGCTGTCCCCGGCAGGTCGGGAGGAGTTCAAGCCCCGCGTGTGCAGCCACGTGGGCACCGGCTATAGGTCAAACCTGCGGCCCCTGGTCTCGTACCAGCCCAGCCTGGACGCCCTGGACAACCCGGCCGTGGGGTACCATCTGGGTGCCGCGATCTGCAGGGCCCTCATCCCCAGGGACACCAGAGACCAACTCAGGCTCCCAGGGTGTCGGGGAGGCTGGGGGAAGGCAAGCCTCTGGGCATCAGCAGCACCACCCCGAAGGGCAGAGACCCTGGGTCCCAGCAGCTGCTCCTGTGCCCCAGGGAACAAGTCCGGGACACCTTCCAGTAGGTGACCAGCAAGAGCTACAGCCCCTTGGAGGGGCCCGACGGCCAGGGCCCCCTGCCCTGGAACATGCACCAGACCTGCTCTGGCTACGGCCGGGAGAGACCAGGCGTGGGGCCCCTCACCAAGGAGGTCAGCGCGGGGCTGTCCCCTGCCCCACACTGGCATCACCTCCCTCCCCGGCCTGCCCTTCCCACTCCCGGCACCCCTGCTGCCACAGCACCCTGAGCATCGTCCACCTCCGTGTCTCTGCCGTGGTCACTGCCGTCGTTCTGTCACCTGGAGACCCTCAGAAGGGAGCCTCACTCGTACCTCCGTTTCCTCTTAGCTTTCTTTTGCTGCTGGAGATGGAGCCCAGGGCCTCATGCCAGGCAGAGCCCTGCATATCTTTCGTCTTGGGGGTGACCAGAGCAGGGGGAGGAAGACTAGGGGTGAAGCAGGAGTGAGGGAGCCAGGAAAGAGCAGCAAGGCGGGCCTGGACAAGGGCCTGCAGGGCCAGTGTCCCAGAGATGCCGAGGCAGGTGACGGGCTGGCATGGGTCCAGCAAGCAAGCAACACAAAGACCAGGGTCCGTGTGGGCATCCTGAGAGCCTGGCCCTACAGGAAGCGACTACCCACCCTGACCAGGTCGAGAAGGTCCACTTCGACACCCGGGAGCACGGACCGCAGGCCATCCCGGGGCTGGAGCCCAAGGCCATGCCCCTGCTCCTCCAGTTGCAGGACAAGGGCCCTCCGGAGCGGGAGAATGCTGGCCACGTGAGTGGCACTCACTCGGGGTGCGGGGCCGGGTGGATGTGTGGGAGGGCCTGAGGGCCCAGCCTTCCTGCCCTGCACCATGCCCGCCCTGTCTTCGGTCCTCTGGCTCTGGTCCAGAACTCCCAGCCCACTGGGCCCATCTCCACTGTCCAGGGCCCACGCTCCAGGACGTCTGAGTGCCACTCCAAGTATCTCAGCGAGCTGAATGCCCAGCCTGGTAGGTGCAGAGTCTGAACAGCTGCATGGCCCCCGGACAGACCCCGGGAGGGGCTGGGGGTGCGGGTGACCGGTGACGGGGACCCGGACCTGTCCCCACAGACCTGCTGCAGAGGAGGACCATCGGTGCCAAGGAGAGGACGGGCTTCACCAAGGGCAATGCCCAGAGCCCCCTGGACTTCCTGCCGCCCTCCCAGGCCCTGCTGGGGGACCCCGTGCGTCTAGGCCCACACGGCTCCCGCCCTCTTGGCCACCAGGGGTCTTGACCAACTGAGTGGCAGAGCTGGGCTTGGAAAGGGTTGGGGGGACATTGCTGCTCTAGCCTGAGACCCCATTTTAGAGACAAGGAGACAGGGTGGGTGCAAGGCACCAGGGCTTGGCCAGGACCCAAGGACTCAGGCAAGCACCTGGCTTTCTGGCCCCCACTGAGGGCCCCCCCTCTGAAAGCTTCCTCTTTCCAGTGTCTCTGTGAGGCCCATCTGTTGTTTTTGTTTTTGCTTGTGATTTTGTTTTTTGTGGTACCAAGGATTGAACCCAGGGCCTTCATGTGGACCTGCATCCCCAGCCCTTTTCTTATTTTTTTATTTTGAGGCAAAGTCTCTGTAAGTCTCTAACTTGCCCAGGCTGGGCTCCAGCTTGCAATCCACCTGCCTCAGCCTCCCGGAGTGCTGGGATGACAGGCGTGTGCCCTTGCTGAGCTGGAGCCAGTGGGCAGTGGTGATGCATGTGGGGTGGGCTGTGTTGGCCGGACTGATGGCCCGCTGCACCCTTCCCAGGTGCTGCTTCGGGGCCGCAGTGTCACCAAGCCGGACTTCCTCCCTGTGACTAACCCACAGGTAGGGAGCCACCGCCCTGGCCTGTGGGGACCTGGGGGTGGTGGGACTGGTGACTGCACTCTGCAACCTCCCACATCTACCTTGCACCCCCAGGGAAGTGAGTTCCTGCCGGTGCTGGCCCAAGGCTCTGAGCGGGAGACAGGCTACAGCCGAGCAAATGACAGAATGCTGAACCCCAGGGTGAGTGGCGGGGGTCCCCGGGAGGAGGTATCTGAGCAGAACTGGGGTTCCTGGGGCGTGCGAGCCCTGAACCTGCACATTTGTCCTCCATCCGTGCTGCAGCCTCACCGTGTCCCGTCCCCTGCAGGTGACCCCTCCAGGCCCTGCACCCAGCAGCACAGCGCATGGGCACTTTCTGCATCCCCGGCCAATGCAGCAGACCAACGTGGCCCTGCTGGGCCACCAGACCATAGGGACCAAGGTGAGGCCTCCCTGCCCTCCGAGCCAGCCCTGCCTCCTCGCTGCCTGACAGCCCTGTCCCTTGGCAGGAGTCCACAGGCTTCAGCATTAACACCGGCGGCTACATCTGCAGCCCGGGCAACCCCGACCGGGACAGCCAGTACCTGACCACCTACAGTCAGGGGTGAGGCCTGTGGCCCTCGGGTTCCCTCGGTTAAGGCACAGGGTCCAGCCTCCCTATGGAGGCTCTGGAAAACAGGGCTAAACCAGTCTTCCAGCAAGAGTAGAGCATGGGATTCCGGGAAGCAGGGCCCCAGGGGTGAGTCACTGACAGGTGTGGGGTCTAGAGGCCAGGTCGGTGGGCGGGGACAGAAGAGGTGCAGGTATCTGCAGTGGGCCAGCAGCAGGCAGGGCTCCTGGAGCAGGCAGCCCCAGAGCCCTGGGAGCTCCTGAGGCTGGGAGGGTGTAAAGGCAGCTGAGTCCTGAGACAGTGCCCAGGCTTCCCTACGCCACCTGACCTTCGTACCCACATGCCCCACACCTGCCCCATTCTGTCCACGACGGACACAGCACTGGGCAGCCTCGGGGTCCCAGTCAGGGCTGCAGGAGGAGGCGGGCGACAGGCGAGGGGCTGTGTGGGAGTAGAGAGTGAGGACACCAAGGAGGGGCCGGGGGCTGGGCAGGTGGTGTCTCCATGGAGACGGGGGCCTGTGCCTTACCCCTCCCCTCGGGGGGGTCACTGCTGTTTCTGCTGCCCACCTGCCCGCTGCCCACCTGCCCGCTGCCCCTTGCCTGTCTTGACCCCTGCTGAGGTCCTGGAGTCCCTCACACTCTCCTCATCCCAGAGGTGGCAACCACTGCTCCACTGCAGCGTCTGTCTGCTCCCCACCTTGAGCCCTGGGGCCCAGTGTTCACTTCCTCTCAAGCCCCCCCTTCCCCTGGGGCCGAGAGCTCAGTGGGGAGGCAGAGGGAAAGGACGGCTGTCTGGACGTCACAGAAACCATCCCTACGTCCTGGGTGCCTCTTCAGGGTTGGGGTGCTGGGGGTGGCCCGGGAGGGAGGAGATGATGCGCTCCCCAGGGACAGCCCAGGGGCCCAGGGCCAGGCACCCGTGGCCAGTGACCCCTCTGCCCTAGGTTCTTCGAGAACATCCCCAAGGGGCTGGACCGGGAAGGCTGGACCCGAGGTGGCATCCATCCCTTGAAGCCAAGCGGCTACACCCTCAACCAGGGCCTCACCTGCCTGGAGCACAGCCCCAGTGCCCCGGAGAGCCTGTGGTGCCCACACTCCCACAGGGGAAGGTAGTGCACCCTGCCTGGTCCTTCCGGTCCTGCGTACATCGCTGTTCCTGCAGTGGCCTCCAGGTGGTGGGGACATGGGCTCAAACCCAAGGACAGGGATGGGGCACTGCTCCACCTCTTCTGCTTCCTCTCTCTGCAGAGCCCTGAGCCCCGCTGACTCCCTCCTTTCCCCTTCCTGCCGGGTCACTACCTGGCATGCAGCTGAGATGGGGCCCAAGTACGCAGGGGACCTTGGCGGGGTGGCCACGGTACCCAGTGCCAACTCCCAGCCTGGAACCTGTGACCCACAGGCCAGTTGGGGTTTCCGGGGACAGCGTACCCACAGCCCGGCTCTCATCCACCCACCCTCCCTCCCCAGGACACCAGCCCCGGGACGGAACAGCCCACTCACTGTGCCCAGGAAATAAAGCCCAGGGGAGCACCGCATGGTGTCCTCACACCCTTGAAGGGTCCAGCGCAGTTTGGGTGCCCTGTGGCGCTCTGTGGATGGGCTGGGGCACCGGGACTGGCTAGAACCTGGAGCCATGACCTCTGGAGACAAGTGACTTGCTCTGGCTCCTGTGCTGGCCCGGGGAGGCAGAGGAAGGAGGGTCTCTCCCACCTCACAGTCCCACTCCCCAGCCACAGGGTGGAGAGGCATCAAGGCAGGACTTCTGCGCCTTCTGAGTCCCGCCCGGGTGGCCAGAGGAGGGTGTGACTAAGCCTCGTGCCAGAGTCATGAGGGTGGACAGCCAGACTCGGCAGGGATGCAGACAAGGTGCCCCGAGGGCCCTCACTGGCAGCACAGGCGCTGACAACTCAGGCTGTACTCCTCCTTCATGGGCTGCAGCCTGGCACTGGGCACCTTTGGCCACTCAGCCAGCTGCACGCACAGTGCACACGGAACAACCATCCCATCTTATACCCTAGGAGCCGGGCTCCACAGGGCAGCAAGGGGCAGCAGCCCTGGGCCGGGGGTGCCCTTGCTCCCAGCCTGCATGGCCCAGCAGCCATGCCCTAGCTCTGTGCCCAGTGGCACAGCATGGTGCCTGAGGAGCAGCTCTGCGGCCCTGAGTGCTGTGCCTGCAGTCCCGGCCCAGGCCTGAGGCTGCTTGGAGGGCGGGCTCCCTGCGGGCGTGGGCAGCACCAGCTGGCAGCGATGGGGGAGGGTGTTGGGGCCCGACCCGGGGTGGGGTGGAAGCTTCGCTGCCCAAGGACACACGAGTACAGGCAGGAACCTGTGACAGGGACCCAGAGCACCTGGATGCCACCGACGACACCCTGAGGGTCACGTGACACCCGCACTCGCTCACATGCACACGTGCTGACGTTGCAAGCACAGGACACAGACACAGCCACATGTGCATGGGCTCACACTGCCCCGGCCCGGCTCTCCCTCCTCTCGCGGCCTCCACAGCTCACGTTTCCTGTCCTGGGCCCGGTGTCAGGATACAGAGCTTGATTTCACCCTCTCGCGTTACCACTCCGGCTCCACTGCCTGCAATGTTTTGGGGCACAGAGCAGGGTCTCCGGGGTAGGGGCCGTGCAGCCCAGGGGCTCCCTCGGGGCACACGGGAACAGCACGACGGGGTACACACGGGCCGCAGGGTCAGCCGCGCCTGTGACTCAGGGCCGGGACCTGCGGTGCCAGCAGGCTTGGGTCACGTGCCAACCCAGAGCCACCGGCCTGGCCTGACAGCTGTCCAGCTGGGCACACAGGCTTCATAGACACAGCTTTCCTGGGGAGCGGCTAGGGCGGTGGGAAGGCCTGGGCACTGAGGCCACAGGACTGGCGCAGGCAGATGGCGGGTGGCTCCCCATTGGCGTTGGGACACACTCCCACCCCCCAGCACCGTGCTGGGGGCGCTTGGCCCCCACTCCTGCACAGGAGCTGCTGCAGCCGGGCTCTGTGGCGGGGGGACGAGACCGCCTCTCAGGACCCTCCGCCCCGTGGGCGGCAGTCCTCTGTGAACACCAGGCCTCCTCCACCCTGTGACTCACCCGGCGCCTGGAAACTGCCTTTGCAGCCCATGGTAGCAGGGGCCTCCTATTGGCCTCTGCCTAAGAAGGGGAGTGTGAGTGTGTGTTCAGGAAAGGCCTGACGGTGTGACGAGGGAAGGGCTATGAGTCCCTTGGTTGATGTGGGGTGTCGTTCCTGTGGTCCCCTTGGTCCTGGCTCTGGCGCAGGAGGACAGAGGCCAATCTGTCCTAAGCACACACCTCCCGGGGTCACAAGGAAGGCAGCAGGATGGAGCCGAGTGCACGGCTCCCAAGAGCTGCAGTCTAGGTTCCAGAGCACTGTGCAGGAGACAGAAACCGGCCATGGCTAATTCCAGGAGAGACCTTCACGGAAAGGGCCTGGGCTCAGAGGCCACCTGGCCAGGAGCCCACATCGCCCCCGGCCCTCGGATGTGGCAGTGCCACCCAGCTTCTCTCCCTGGCCTGTCTAGGGAGACTTTGGGTCACAGGCCTGTACCTAGCCTGCAGGGTGCTGGGAGAGTGGGCTGCTGCATTTCCAGCCCACAGCAGGAGGGGTGGGATCTGTTCTGTGAGGCAGGCAGGGATTCTCCTGTGTAAGAAGGGGATTCACACGTGCTGGCAGTGTGGTCCGGTCCTGAGAAGGGGGAGACATCTGCGGAGAGTCTTCTTGGGCCCCTGTGGGACTCACTGGGCTGGGGCACGGCCTTGGAGGCCCCTGGGAGCCATGGTAAGGCCACCTTCCCCAGGAGGCAGGTGTGGGCATCATAGGACGTGCTCAGTCTCACAAATGCCCTTGGGTTAGTGGCTTACATCTAGGTGGCCCCCAAGCTCAAAGGTGGGGCTCCTGGAGGATTGGAGTGTGGGTCCTTGCAGCTGACCTGCTGTTAGGAGGTGGCCCCGGTTGGAGGAGGCAGGCACTGGCACTGTGACCTGGAAGGGCTAGGCTCCCTCCCTGGCTCCTCCTCCACTCTGGTCGTGGTCACTGTGCTGAGAGCATCCTTCTACTCAGGCCCTTCAATTACAGCAGGCACGCACAAGCCTGCTGAACACGGACTGGAACTCTGAAACGTGTGACAAAATGCACCTCCCCTCCTCTAAAGTGTGGTATAGGCTCCTGTGTCCCAGCAATGAGAAAGTAAGATTTTGGTACCAGAAATGGGCTCGTTGCTGTAATTACGTGAGCATGGGGTTTAGAAGCCTTTGGAACTGGTTCATGGGAGGAGTTTGGAAGTTTGGAGATGCTGATTAGAAAAGTAGCCCTGGAATGCTGTGAGTTGAGTTTGGTTCTGGATGGAGGTCAGAAAACCAGGAGGCTGATAGAAAGGTAGCCATAAAGACTGATCATTGTGGCTTAAGTTGGAAACAAGGACTCCATTGCAGTTATACTGCAGGCCATGTGTGTTATGTGTGTTTTGGCAGAAAATTTGTATATATTTTGGTTGTGTTCTGACACTTTGTGGAAGAATGAAATTAAGGGCAGTGGACTAATTAATCTGGCAGAGAAAATTTCAAGGCAGCCCAAAGTTCATGCTGTAGCATGATTATTGCTTGCTACATTTAGTGAGATTTACACTGAGAAACAGGAGCAGAAAGCCCATTTAAAAAGTTTTGACTTTACCAGAAAGGAAGCGCCTGTAAAGTTTTGGCTGAGGCGAGCTCGGTTGCTAAAAAGATTAGTGTTAAAAAGAAGCCAAAAAAATATGAAAAAATGAAAAATGGAAATAAAGTGTTTGCAAATGGGGAGGGAAAGTGTGGGTGAAGGGAGGGCAGGGACCAGAGGAAAAAAATGAGAACCAAGACCTGTCATGTAGAGGTACAAGATCCCAATGATGAATGCAACTGTACTGTACACCTAAAATGCACCAATAAACTAAAAAAAATAAAAAATAAAAAAAGCCAAGTACTTTGCATCAAGACAACAGTGTCACAGTGGGATCCCTCCCTCCACAGGCTCCTGGGCTCCATCGTGAAAGTCCTTGCTTTGAGAAGAAACCCTCAGGCCACCCCGCTTGCCCAGGGCCAGCTGGGGAATTGTAGGGATCTGTCTCACAGTGCTCAGCCATCTGGCCCACTCACGGCTCCTACAGCCATGATTCAAGGGGGCCCAGCTTCAGCCGGCAGTAGACCTTGGGGTCATCCACACGATGCTGCTTTTAGGCACACGCAGAATGTGAGAGCCGTGAGGTCTCAGGAGGAGGCTGGGAGGCCAGGCAGGGCACCTAAGAGGGCTGCGTGGGAAGCCATGAGGGTGAAGCTAAATGCAGTGGAGAAGCGAGAGATGTGGACTGTGGCTGAGGAAGGCTGCAGGCCGTGAGCACAGCCGGCCCACAGAGGCCAGGACAGTGGCCGCCCACAGGCTGTTGGCTGGGGCTGGCCAAGCCTTTGGAGCTCACATCTTTGCTCTGGGTGTTGGAGGTGGAGCTGCAGGATCCGATGTTGCCCCGCTGGGTTTTGGTTTTTCTTTGGCACCATTCCTGTCTACTTGCTCTTCCTCCCTTTTCAGATAGGAACGTTTACCCTTTGCCCCTGTGTTGGAAGTGTTTAACTTTCTTTTTGATGTTTACAGGGGCTCACAGCTACAAGTTTGCTTTGAGTTTCAGAGGAGATCTCTTTTTGAAGACAGTTACTCTTAATTTTAATACTCTATCAATCTTTTTGTTTGCTTGCTTGTTTTTTTGGTACCAGGGATCAAACTCGGTACCTTGCACTTACAAGGCAGGCACAGTGCCGCTGAGCTAAATCCCAGGTCCCTTATCAATCTTTTTCGAAGCAAAACATTTATTGGTACATTTTAGATCTATGTAATGAAAATGTTCACCACAGGGAATCTGTACCTGTATATGATAAGTCTTGCTGCTGCTTTTTTCTCTTTCCCCTCCCTTCCCTTTGACCCCTCTTCCCCTCATTTACAAAACCTTTTTCACTTTTTCCTTCTATTCTTTTTTCTTCTTCCTTCCTTCCTTTTTCCTCCCCTCTCCCTTGTTTCCCTTCTCACTTGAACATTTTCTTCCCATTTCAGAGGAGACTTTGGACTTGGACTTTTCAGCAAGACTGGAACTTTAAGAGTGGAGAATCTTTGCGGGGCGCTAAATTTTGCATGAAGAGACTGCCTACCTCTTGGGGGTCCGAGTGAAACGTTGCAGTTTAGATCCAGATGTCCCTGCTGCGCTTCATGCTCTGAAGATGGGGCTTTTGAAAGAGGATTGAACCACGGGGTCCCACAGCTGACTCACAGGTCAGCTGGGGCGGTGACCTGGGAGGGTTTGTGTTCCTCCAGGCTCCTTCCTTCCTGTTTCCTGGACGCCGTGAGGTGAGCAGCTCTCCTTTGCCCAGCCCTTCCACTGTGCTGTCCTGCCTTGGAGTGGCCCCTACAGACCTACAGTGAGCCAAATAAACCCATCCTTCTCTAAGTTACGGGTGTTGGGTATTTTTGTCCCAGCAATGAGGAAAGTGACTAAGACCCCCCGGCTTATCACCAGCTGGACGCCAGGCCAACTCCGTCTCCTCTGAATCTGTCGGGCGAGTGCCCCGCCCCTCTCCCAGCTCTTTCCTTCTCCCGGAGGCTTGCATCTTCCTCAGTCACCTGGGCAGTCTCTGAGATTGGGGCTTCCACACCAGTGCTCCCTGCCCCTGCGCAGAGCGACTGTGGCCTCTGGACACCCGTGATCAGGGTCCTGCGTCAGCCGCAGCCTCCTTCCTGGACCCCATGATCCCTCGGGCTCCCCCGACTCCTTCCCCACCTCCAAGATCTGGTCGGGCCTGGGAGCACCACAGGCCACACCTGCCAAGGGAGTGCAGACTGGTCCCCCTGCCGGCCCGCTGACACCCAGGGCTTCGCTCTTCCCAGCGGTGTCAGATGTGGCTCTGTGCCTGCTGCCGCCCGCTTGCCCAGCAGGCCTTTTTCTCCTCCTGAGGGGATCTGGCTTCCGAGATGGCACCCTCGCCTCAGGGCGCACAGCATCC